TGATCGTGCATCGATCCAGGTCCCGATCGTCGTTTGAGTCACGTTTTGTGTGGTCACGATTTATTCTGCCCGTGACACTGCCCAGGCGCCGATCCACTGCAACAGTTATAGATTCAAAGAATGTGATTTATATATTTGGTGGAAGGGTAGAATTAGATATGGGTGCAAGCGTATTTACTATATTCGATGATTTTTTCACATTTGATACCAATACTTTGTTATGGACAAATCTTTCATACACTAATCATCCATCTAAACGAAGCCATTGCACTGCAACTCTAATGCCCGATGGAACGATTATTTACATAGGAGGTGTTACTCAAACTAATCCTGGAGAAAATTTAACTCGTACACTCATGACTGATGTGAGTACACTATTCATATTTATTACATGCACTTTATACTTTACATATTGTTTAAAAGTTTGATATCTCCAATTTAGATAAATATATTCGATACTATTCAGTCATCTTGGTCATTTAAGGTATCTTTATTTTTTCTTATAAGTTCCTATTTCACTAAAATTAATAAAATATATAAATTATTATTTATTCTAGACTGCGAACAGCCCTAGCTCAGTAAATATAGACCCTCGTGTTGGACATACCACTGTTCTAGGTACATTAAGTTATAATTATCATTTTATATATGCAATTTCTAAATAATTATAATTCTAAATTGTTATTATCACCATTCAAAGCTCCAGATAATAATACTATAGTCATATTAGGAGAAACACAAAGTTATGGACTTGACCAGACTACATCATATCCGGTTTTTGTATTACTTGATGTTAAATCCGAACCTTTTCAATATTCATCTCCTCAACCTTCTGGACCAGCTCCTCCTCCACTGTCATTTCATACAGCAACACGCTATCAAAACTATATGATTGTAGCATTTGGTAATAAATTTATTCTCATTCAATAATAATTGTCGCGGCTGAAGCTGGAAATCAGGGACCTCAATTTAAAAATATAAACACTGCCAAAATCAACCATACTCTTTTATTATAAAAACTACCCTAAACCTAGCCAAACTATTAAAAAAAAACAAAAAAAATACACCACAAAAATGTTTGGAAATTTCATATTAAAATATTTAAATTTTCTAGCTTCAGCCGTGACAATAATTACTACACAAGCACACGTGGACGCTATATTCTTTTGGCTACTTTTCATAGGAAAACGCATTCTAAATGAGATCATTCATAATACCGAAAATAAAACCTATTCATAGATAATGTCAAAATTACAGGACAATGTTACCAAGATTAATCTTTGATTTAAAAGTTAGCAAATAATGAAGCAGCATTTCAAAATGAGTGAACGAGGCTACTTTTATGAAAATTATTATTTTTCTAAATCAGAGCAATAAATATTATTAATTTTGGTAATGGCGTCCTATAATTCCAATCGAATTATCTATTTATTCTAATATGGGTGACTTATTTTATAAAATAATACAGAATTAATAGAAATCATTAGTAAATTGCAGACAAGTTTTCCTATGTGGTGTGTCTGAAAAGTATAAGAATTCCATTTAACAGGACCATGACATATTTGATATGGGTCATAACTGGATTTTGCCCGTAATGATCTAATTTTCCGAAACTCCAAAATAGTTTCTTAAATATCTTGGATTCAATGATCTAAATGAACTTTTTTTTTTGTTAGATAGAGTTTAGTGAGGTTTCATATAAAAAATAAAGTTCAGACTACTGGACGTCGAAATGATCACAAACCTTGATTTTCAAATTATTAAATCTCGGGGTTTTCAACGAAAACTCTCCATATGACTTCCGTATAATATGTCCGGGGTTCTCATTTAACCAACTTTTATCGATACTAACATTTACGCTTAACGATTTTTTTTTTTTTTAAAAAAAAAATATATATTTATGTATAGGCAACATTACCAATGATTATGGTCCTTCAACCAATGCGTCTGCTGATATGTATTTAATGGATCTTTCAAATTACACATGGGTGACGCAATTTGGAAAGACTACTCCTACTCCTACCCCTAATTCTACCAATAATACACACTTGATCATCATTATTGGTATTGGTCTAATAGCATGGCGTTTTAAATGGTTCATATGCTGTCCTCCGAACGAGCCCGTGCCAAATAGGGAAAAACCCAGCTAACTTACAAAAACTTTTATAAAAATTGGATTTATCTCGGTGATTCAAATACTTTAATATTATGAAATAAACAAAAATGCATATTATTTTTATATCCTCATTTAGCATTAGCGCTAGCTTTAATTTAAAAAGAAATGCAATTAATTAATTATAAATATTTTTTAATTACGCGTGGTATATAAATTGTATTATATTTAGGAGAATGATCTCAAAAACTGCTGCAATGTATGAATTAGCAGATACTAGAGTATTAATATCGCGTATAATTATTCAAGCTAATTCGGAACATTCAATAGGTTTGTCAAAAATTTCATTGGGCAGTTATCCATAATAAAATATTATAATATTATAAATATTACAATTTGCTATTTTTGTACATTAAATTAAATATTTTACATCACTAATATTATGTAATCTCGCTTTGAAGTAATTACTATTTTGTAATACTGAAACTTAAAAAATCTCTTTTTTTGGTATTAGAGAATTTAGTGCTTTGATACTAGCGGAGTCAATATTCAAGGATCTAGTTAAAGTCTTAAAAGATGATTTATACTCTTTAGTTCCGAGTGAAAATTTAGTGTGATTCTATTAACAATCTGTTTATATCTGCAAATGTTCGTTGATAATTTTTTAATATACAGTAAACTTGAATTCGACGCTTAAGCACATTTATGTTATTTGGATTAATGTCCAATAATTTATTTAAATCTGCAAGTGATCCTTCGTAGCAATTTAACATGCAATATGTCTTTTCTCGATAACTTAGCGCAGTCACATCCTCTGGCTCAAGTTCAATCGATTTATTTAAATCATCGAGTGATTCACTATAGCGTTTTAGCATATAGTGCGTTTTTCCTCGAGTTCTTAGCGCAAATGAATTTTTTGGCTCAATGTTTAATGATCTTGTTAAATCATCCAGGGATTGGTCATATTTTCTTAAATGATAGTAAACTAGTCCCCGGCTTCTCAAGGACTCTGCATTATTTGGGTCGACTATTAATGCTTGATTTAAATCCTTAATTGAATGGTTATGCTCATTAAGCATAAAATAAGATTGTCCTCTAATCTTTAATGCATCAGCATTTCCTGGTTCAATATTCAATAATTTTGTTAAATTTTGTATCGATTCTTTGTATCTGTCCAATTGATAACAAGATTGTCCCAGAACCAATAGAGAAATAGTGTTTTTTTCATCAATCTTTAATGAATTTATTGAATCTCTAAGAGACTCTTCGTATTTTTTTAACTCAAAGTATGTTTGTCCCCGATATCCTAATATCGTTGAATCAATCGGATTAAAGTTTAATAATTT